TATATATATATAAATTAACTCGTAAACCTTAAATTAAATTAAAGTGTACTTGACAAATTAAATTCTCTCGTAAACGAAGCCTCGAGTGAAAAAATTTTATTCCACATTTTCGACTTATTTTTTCATGAAGAATCATCCTCTGCTCTACTTTCCACTTTCTGTTCGAAGTGTCACTAGATATTTGATTCGAATGTATCTTTAGAAGAAAGAGAGATTGGTTAATATTTAATATTTAATATTTAATATTTAATATTTAATATTTAATATTATTATTATTAATATTTAATATTATTATATTTAATATTATTGGTTAATATTTAATATTTAATATTAGAAAATTTACTACGACGATTTTATAGATACAATAATGAAATTTAGAGAATATATATAGGTATGAAGAATGTGGAATCTAAATGCATTGTTTTCTTGCCTCCAGCAATATAATTATATGACATATGAGATAAGAATTTAGAATGGGAAAAAATTTGAAAAATCACTTGCTAAAGTTAATGAATCATCATTAATCTAAATCTCGTTAATAAAATTTTTAACGAATTAATAAGACGCGTAAAAATTGGAATTTGTTTCGCGAAATCTTTGCGTCGGTTTCTCTGTTTTACATTTAACGCGGTTGATTTTAAAATAACGAAAGTCTTTATCAACGGGATTTCATAAAATTTAAATGAAGAACTTAGAAATAGTAACGAATTAAAAATCATAAGTGAAAATAATCATTGCTAATTGTTAATATGATTCTTTTATTTTCATTCGATAATACACAAAATAACTCGATAAAATTAGAAAATGATAGGTACAATGAAACTCTAGTAATGCAAGTACCAAAAAAAATTAGTAAAAGTAGTGATTAAGAAAAAACAGAAATTTCGTCTTGTTGTAACATTATGTAAAATTCTTATTATAACATATGTGGCTTCTTCGTAGCCTGTGATCTTAAGCAAAACAATAATCATAAAGATTTTACTGAATCTCTGATAATTTTTTGAAGTTGTTTCAATCTCTATAAAACACAAATAAAAAGAATTGTTTTCTCTATCCCTTTCAGATTTACCTGCGATACCCGAAAATATACAAATTAGACAGCAGAAAAATAACTTTGTCCTGTTGACTTGGCATAATTCCAAGGCACAGCATGCCGATGAATCTACCACTGGCAACAAAGATGTAAGATATTTGGTTGAAGAGCGACATTTGCTTGGACCAAGGTACCTGGAATCGAGATTAAGTCCGTGGACAATTCGTCATATTTCAACGAAATCACACGCGACAATTCGAGAACGATTGAAAACCGGACACTGGTATCAATTTCGTGTAGCAGCCATTAACGCAAATGGCTCCCGAGGGTATTCCGAATCTTCCAGACCTTTTAAAACGAAAGGTAAGTTAAGGTTGCAATATTCCCTTTTTTTTTTAGTACAAATTTTTTTAATGCGATTTAATCTGCAGATAAGAAAGAAAATAGAATTAAATTGGAGATTTTTATGCATTCATTAGAAATTTAAAGACGTAGGAATACAGATAGTATATAAAGTAGAATACTCGGTATAATACTTGAAGGATGGAAGTCTCTTTTTAGGTTCTTAACTCATGACAATGTATATAGTATAATGATTTTAATAGTTTGAAAATTCGAACGAAAATTAAGCAAATAAATCTTTTTTCACATAATCATGTTCGTCGTTTTTTTTTTTTTTTTTAACACAAGATTCAAATTTTTCAAATATTCTAAGTATTATATGGATCATTTATTTATGCAAATAGTATCTATCTTTAACAAGACCATTGAACAGTTTAATCATTCTTGTACAATCGTTATAATAATATTACAGTATAATAATTAAATTATTCCATCAATTAATAATTTCACTAACAAAAAGATATTAACATAGCTCCATTTTTTTTTTTTCAAATCAAAAATGGCTGACACTGAAATGTATAACTTGTGAACTCTTCATACATATATATATATATATATGTATTTATTTAGTGAATGATTACCAATTAAAAAAAATATATACACATGTTAAATATTTTTGACTACATTATTAATTTACAAAATCAGCATATTACATTTTGATAATGTCTTGTGAGAGTGGCATGACCAAAATATAATCTTGACTCTATATCCAAACAGATCAAAATGTTCTATGATTAATTTCTTTCAAAGGCATTATCTTCTTGTGTTATCACATAAATCATGTAGTATACGTTCTTAACACTAGTTTTCACTCGACTTAAATATTCGTTCTAATTTAAAATCAAGTTTCTGTAAACTTGTTCTCAAGTGGAAATAGTGCGTGAAATTATCCAGTTATTATACTTATCAATATAATTGTGTGACACTGTGTGTAAACACTTACTACAATAATTAAGAATCAACTTATGAAGTTTGGCTTCAGTTTCAAATTTGAATATTTTTACATTTTATATTCTCTCAATCTCTAATTATAGTATTGATGAAAGATCGAAATGCTTTATATAGCACATGTAATATTCATAAAAAATTTCTGCAAACGTTTGAAATATACCTTTATGAATACCAGTAGTTTTCGTTTCTGTTATTTAATGTATTAAATGGTTAACGAAAGTGGAAAGAAAAAGAAGAACACTTCAAATTACCGCGAATATTTCGCATTACAAGATTGTTTAATTTATTCTTTATTAATTAATCTATTGTGTGAGATATCGTTTCATTTGTGTTCAACGTGTGTTAATACATTGTAATTATTATAGCTAAGAATTTTACGATGCCATATATTTAATGATGTCCTGTTCTGTAGAATATATTATATCGTAGGAATTTAATTTAATTTTGCTTTATCCTCAGAAACAATAAACATACCGAATATGCTTGATTTAGGATCTAGAAGGAAAACAGTAAAGAAATAACTAAGTAGTTAATTAGATTACGTATAAAATGTCCTAAAGTAAATAATCCATTAAATTATGCTAGTACATATTTTACAAATAATAATACAGTAAAAAAAAAGAATAGTTTTAACTCTAGATCGTTTGCGTAGTTGCAAAAAATTGATCGCATTCACAAAAAAAACTTTAACAAAATTAAAGATTAATTTTGTTTCTGAAAGCATCAATGTCCAGATAATTACCAATATATCTTCAAACTGAAAAATATTTTACATTCCATTAGCTCAACAAGAGACAAGAATTATAATAAATACTTTGTGTATAATTGTTATTTTTTTCATACTATGTTACTATATTACTATGTTATTATTATACAGCAGCGTAATCTTATGAAATTATTAAATATCAATATCTTGTTAACTTTTATGTTTGCATTATGTTAACTTTTAAAATTTGCATACGCAATTCTTTTATATTATTATACACAACAAAAATATGAACAAAGATGAACAAAATTATTGAGCAACTCTGTACTAATTTGATTGATTTGTTTCTGCATTCAGAATTAGAATAAATTCGCTTGATTTTTAAATTCCTATGCAGAAAAATCATTTGTATTAGATAATGTTTCTCACTATGTCAAAAATATTTTGAAAAAAAATTTTCAGCTTTTTTTGGTCAGCTTATTGTTTTTCTATTCTTTATATACTTCTGTTTTCATATATAAGTTACAGTTTTATCTGAATGCACTGAAATACCTTTTTTTATAGATTTGTCTTTATAGATGTTGTGAAAAAAATATTTTAACAAAAATTGTTTGGTATGGAAGGAAATATTATATATTGTAAATATTTTTTTTTTTTTGTATCTGATATAGGAAGATTCAATTTAATTTTTTGAAAGATAATGCTATTTTATCAAATGTAATATATATAATATAACAATATGTTAAGATATTCTGATAAAAGATATGATATAATATAACAAGTTAGATATAATATAACAATATGTTAAGACATTCTGATAAAGTTACCATCAAATAAAACTAGCAAGAAGTTGAAAACTGTTATACACTGTAATAATCGAATAATCACTGATGAGGATCACTAGATTCGACAAAAATCATACACACTACCCGTGACAAGTGAAATGTATTAAATCAAATAGCAAGCATTCATATGATAAACAATATTTTGAAAAAACCAGACATACATAAGATGCCACAATGAGTTTTAATTGGCTAGCTTGATCGGATCTTTGGCCTTGTCGACTAGTTAACACATAACAATTCTAAACACTATAAAATGATTTATACTTAACAATACTTTAGTAATTTTAGTGATTTTAGTGATAATTAATAATTTTGAATTATTGAAAATTCCCTTCTTATATGGACATCCACTCCATATGTCCTCCATTGTTACGTTAATAAATTCTCTTTCAACATTTATGAACTGCTAATGTTTTTTTTTTTTTTTTACATCGAATAATATTGAGATGTATAGTTCTCTTTTTATTTAGCGAGTCGACACGCACGCATGCGTTACGACGCTGAGGAACGTGCGTGGTCATCCGACTCCCGGTTTTTCGTAATTCGACCTTCCATGAAAGGAAATGACTTTGTTAGAAGGTTCTTGAACTTGTCTCACATCAGTATACACTATCATATTATATGTATTTGAAAAAAATGCAATTCAAGCGTTGCATGAAGAAAAATTAAAAAATTATCTTTGAAATATTCTCCGCCGTATGAAGTAGAAGAAAAAGTATTTGCAACGCATGATTGTTGAGCAACTTTTGTTAAAACTTTTTTGTTACTTGTTCATAACATTGCTTCCGTAAAAGATATTTCAACGTACTCAGATAAAACAGACACTCTGCATGATTCATATTTTTTATCATTCTTACATTACCACTTATTGTAGATAAACTATACTAATAGATTACTCAGATTTACTTTTGGAGATGTTGTACGTAATCGATTTAATTAAAAATTATTATTTCATCAAGTCAGTAGAAACAGACTTACCGAGATGAAAGACGATAATGTTAAATTAATATTTTGAACATTAGATAATTTGCACTCTAGCTTATTAGTCAAAATCATCATAACAATTGCATGTTGCAGTGGTATGTCGTGGTAATACCAATTTTTGTATATTACATCGTCCGCTATATTTTTGCTCTAAGAATTTGGAACAAATTATATTAATATATTCATATAGATAATGATAATCACAATATATTAATCCAATTGTATAAATTATATTACTAAAATTTATGAATATATTTAAAGTGAAACATATTTCTAATTATATAACGAAGATTAATAAACATGAACCAATCAAACAATTAATTTTTCGTTGCATAGACTGATACACTATAGGTTATTATATTCTCATTATTATTTAAAAAATTTTACCGCTTCGATCAATTCTTGGATAGAGTAGCACAATATATAAAATTGTGTCAATGCACCAAGCGAGTATATTACAATCAAGCATCTCTCAAAATGGCCACTCTGGAAAAGTATTTCTCTCTTTATGAAATAAGCGGTGAGAAAAGAAACATTGGAAAGCAAAATTATGTATCAAGTATTTGAAATTGAATGTATACCATTACGAACATTAAACTTAGAAAGCAGAACCGGAAAACGTTGTTTAGATAAAGAATTACGATATTTGGGGAGAGCAATTTCCTCGACATAGCGGCCATCCTACAATTTTTATTACAAATTTTAAAGACTAAAAATTATTAATGCATTCCTTCACTATTTTCACAATTCCTCGCAAATTATAGACAATCATCGAGTAAATATTGGAATTTACATTTTTTTTAAACAAATCTATTTACACTTATTTATATTTTATATTTACGACTCATTGCGTTATATCTTCTAAAAAAAAAAAAAAAAAAAAAAAAAAAAAGAAATCTTGTATGTTCAATCACGAAATATAACTAGCAGAATTGAGAATTCGAGTTGGAGAAAATGTATAACGCGAGCACACCGAATATTCCAAGTTACATTAAGGGTTGCATCAGGAACATGAAAAGTGTTAATCATCATATCGGAAATCATTTGACGTTATTGTACGTTTGTGCAATTAAATTAAATAAATGAAATTTTTACTTACGCAACCACGGTTCCGTAATGGCGGATTAACAATCTCATTTCCTGTTTGATCGTTGCAGACGAGACGTTCTCTCTAATATCATGATACAGACGCTTCAATGTTCCGCATTCCTCCTCGAATATCGTTGCAAATTTGACTCTAAGGTATTTGTATTGAGCCGTCATTAAAATAATGAAATGCATCGTATAGAGATCCAAGCTCATCTTTCTGACATTTTGGATCGCGCCGCCGATACTCTGCAGGATAACACCGGCAATAAAAATGTTGATTGAAAATGGCTGTTTGGATATAACGCCGGGTATCTGATAATCCGAATAATAGAACTCGTTCTTTTGAAAAATCTCGAGAAACGGCAACAACGTCCAAACAGTGGTTGTAGCAATATTACCAACTGTGTAAACTGTTAATGGCCCCTCTATCGGCTTCATTGTGCTAGCCGTGATGCCTTGAAGAATTTCATTGCCTTCGATGAGCCGGTTCAACTGTCCAATTAATCTGCGTATTAAATCCTGACGGCAGTGCATGTAAATTCTCACCGTGATTATTTCCAACGCGATCACTGCGTTCACGGTACCATCCCTTAGTGCCTTTTCTATCGGAACAGAGAGAACACCGAAAATAAAAGTGGCCAGGTATACGAGTTCCATTAGCCAAGTGAAGGTAAAGTAGATTTTGTGTACAATCGGTAATTTCCTTTTCCTACTTGTCATCGGCAAAAAGTTTCCCGATATTATATTCATGAGAACGTTTAAACGGCTCAAGTTACGAAAATCCATTCGGCTCGATACTTATTCTCTCTCAGTGAGAAAAATACAACACTGTTTAGTGCGTTTGTACGTTTTTTTGATTGTATTCACACATACGATGTGAAAGTAATAATTTCATACATCAATTCATCTTATTGTACAGAATATTTTTTTCTTTTTACTAAACCTGTCTTCATAAATTCTCTTTCCCACTCGTTTAAAAAAGGCAAGTTCTTTTATATTTTAAATTTCATAACAATAAAAACCATGGAAATATCCAGAATAAATTAATGTGGTATAGCAGTGTGTTGACGTGTAAAGCTAAGTACGTTTCACCTTTGCACTCTGCGTGAATTGAAAGCCAAATGCGGCGAAACTATATATAGGTGCTCGAATATCTCGTCTCAAATCTTTTCCACTATTAATTCCATTTAATAATATACAGTGTTCTAATGACGTTTAGAAATTCATTCTACCGTGTGTATACGTCATTGAAAATTGA